CCCCAAAACCCCAAAACCCCAAAACCCCATGCGTAAGAATATGATTTTTAATCGTCATAGTAAAAAGGATTATGTCAATATTATATAATTTTCTAAGAAATAAAGTAAATGAATTCAGCATCCCATTAAGCATTAAGGTGGTTTAATTCACTAAAATCTATCGTATCTGAGTCAATTGAATCTTATTCGTCTTCAGTAATTCATTTCTATTTATACTCTGCAGGCAATAGCACATATAATCATGATTTTTCAAGATCCCTTGATTTATAGCTGCCAGCGATATTCGAACTAAGCATAGTCTAACTTTTTCAATAATACCTCCGCTCATCATTGTTGCTACTGTAATTGTAGTTTGAGAGAAAATAATTTGACTTTACGAGAATCTTATAAATAACCTGTATCGCTTATGGATGATATGTAGAATGCATCAGGAATGGGATTTGAGATGGAATTTGATGAGTAGAGGTAGCACTCAGGAAGTAGTTCTAGTGCAGGTAGTGGGGTAAGTCTTGGTAGGAGAGGCTCTGATGACGATCACAACTATAAAGTAAATAGTTGTCAATGTTAATGTTCCTATCTTAATTCACAGCAATATCAAATCATTGAATTCGACTTCTCTTATAATGTGTAACATTTATTCTTTTTATTATCCTTTCTAGATTTTATCATAGAAAGAAATCTGATATCTCAAATAGCAGAGCTTAGCCTTAAATTAAGTCCTAAAGTATATCAAATGGAAATGAGAATCAGAATTAAAAGTTATAATATGCAGAAGTCATTAAGATTCACATTCCTTTAAAATATAGAGAAAGTAGGGGGATTCTCGAGATTTGTAAATATTAAGATCTTTAAATGATTATTTAGTTGATGATTTTGATGATAGTTATTCCGATACTGAATCAGAAGGGTCATATAAATTAAAACAGAATATCCTATATTCCTTAACTCTTCAGGAAATGCTCTTCAATCAAGGGATTATTTAATAAGAGTAAGAATTTCTGAAAAGCTTGAGGAAGGAGTATAAAAAGAAGATCACGAAACTTGTAAGTTTAATTAAGCTAGTTATATAAATCTATAGCATAGAGTTTAGTCTTCATTGTCATTTAGAGAATCGAGACTAATTGGCCAATCACTATGTGAATCTGAGTATTTATCAGATGGATTGATAAATGATCTCAATAGCAGCGAAGAATTATCCTAGGGAGGAAGTATTTAATTCTCGGATGAAAAAGATTTTTAAGTTAAGGATGAGCAGCAAAGTATATAAGATTTCTTTGGGAAAGGAGTTGCAGTGGCTGCTATTGCTTAAAAGATTTAGTCTAAGGGGAAAAAATTCCTAAAGCAAGCTACTGTCTTTAATGAAGCTGATAATTCACTCAATGTTTCATCGGCTAATAATAGTCTGATAGTTTCAAATAATCAAAGTCTCTTATAATCTGAATATCTAACAAACAAATATGATAGGTTATTAAATATCAATGAGACATTGTTTGTTCAGCCCACTAAACTAATCAATGATATTTTAAAAATTGAGGAAAATGATCTCCTTTAGGAATAAAATACTTGCTAAGTAGGAGGATTGAATTAGACTTTAATTCTTAGTGATAATGATGAGGAATCTAATTTTCTTCTTGATAAGTAAAGTCAAGTCATGGATTAGATGCTGTATATGGGAAAACTTTGATCAACATTACTTGTATTCATAGCTATAGTAGTAACCAATTACTTATTTTACATTAACGATTCACTTGTAATATCTCCTTAAACTATATTTAACTAACGGGGTTTTGGGGTTTTGGGGTTTTGGGGTTTTGGGG